TTAAAAAAAAAAAAAAATACCCATGGCATTTTTGAGAGAACTGGAACGAACAGTACTGAAATTCATATGGAATCACAAAAGATCCCAAATAGCAAAAACAACTCTAACAAAAAAATTGAGTCATCACACTTATGAGACTTCAGATTATAAGTCCATAATAATTAAAGTAGCCTGCTGCTGAAACAAAATTAGGCAGACAGACCAATGGAATAGGATTGAGAGTCTAGAAACAAACCCACACCTGTATGGAAAGATAATCTAAGGCACACACACACACACACACACACACAAAAGATAATCTAATCTGTCCTTGTTCTGGAACAAGGGTAGCTTCTTCAGTAAATGCTGTTGGGAAAACTGGACAGCAGCACACAAAAGAGTGGAATTTGACCACTATCTCACACCACACACAAAAAAATCAATTCAGGATGGCTAAAAGATGGATCTAAGACCTGAAACATAAAATACATAAAAGAAAACATAGGCAAAACATTTTACTACATAAGCTTCAGTGATGTCTTTAGGGATTCATCCCCAATAGCAAGAGTAACAAACAAGAACATAAACAACTGGGACTACATTAAATTTAAAAGCTTCTGTATAGCAATAGAAACCATAATTAAAAGATACCGTACTGAGTGGGAGAAAATAAGTGTATACCATGTATCTGACAAGGGTCTGATACTGAACACCTACAAGGAACTGATACAAATGAACAACAACCAAAAAAGCAAATAACCCAATCAAAAAATGGGCAGAAGAACTGAATAGACATTCTCCAGGAGGCATTCAATGTTTGTCATCATTTATCATCATAGAAATGCAAATCAAGACCACAGTGAGATACCATCTCACACCTGTGAGAATGGCCCATATCAAAAAGGTCAGAAACAGGTACTGGCAAGAATGTGGAGAAAAGGGAAAGCACCTATACTACTATTATGAATGCATTATGATCCAGCCCTTATGAAAAGCAGTATAGAGGTGCCTGAAAACATTAAAATGGATTTGCCATACAGCCAGTTCTTGGCATTTACCAGAAAAATGAAAAACACTAATTTGAAAGGAAAATTGCAGACCTTTTTCTATTACACTGCTACTTACTACAGCCAAATTATGGAAACAACCTAAATGCCCAAAAGCAAATGAGTGGATCAAGAAGATGTTTATATGCACAGTAGACTATTCAGTAATAAAAAAATGATAAATATAGGCCATTTGCAGCAACCTGGATGAAGCTGGAAGGGATAATGCTAAGTGAAATAAGTCAGCAGAAAGGTAAATACCAGACGGTGTCACTAATATATGGAATATAGAATAACTAAGGATCAGATAAAGGCAGGTTTAAAACTGACACTTGAAAGTTGGCTATAAAACAAACATGAAGTTAGTTTTAGGGGTCAGGGAGGGAATAAGACTGAAGCGGGAAGGAAGCACAATTGACTGTGGTGGTGGACTATGAGTCATTTGGTGGTAGGGACACTACAGTGTCAACACCTGGTGGGGGTTACCAAATATGACTTCAATTAAAAATGAATTAATTAGGGCCCTCCCAGGTGGCTCAGTGGGTTAAAGTGCTGCACCATGAAGCTAGTCATGTCCACTGCAGCATGAGTTCGATCCCTAGCCAGGGAGGTGACCTACATGGTGCGGCAGACCTCTCCTGACCCGCCTGCTGCTCCCTTCAGCAGTGTACTTCATCCATCTGCCTGTTTTGCTCCCCACTGTTTCTGGTGAATCCTCTCACCTCCTGTACCTCTGGCCTATACCCCAGTTCTGTATGCATAAGTAAATAGATCTTTAAAAAGAAAATAGCAAGATATTCTGTTTTATGGCTGACTAGTATTCCTCTGTGTGTCCAAACAGGTATATATTTTTATCTATTCACCCATCATCTTGGACACTTGGGTTGTTTCCCTCTCTTAGCTATTGTGAATAATGGTGCATTGAAAATAAAGCGTGCTTATATCTTTTCAAATGTGTGTTTTCATATTCTTTAGGAAATACTCCAGAAGCATGCAAAGGTTTGCATATGGTAGCTCTTTTTTTTTTTTTGAGGAAAGTCCATATTTTTAGGTTTTTAATATCAGAAATAATGCTGCAGTTTATATCCTTAAATATTTGTGACTTTCTTACTTGTACAGCTGTCTTCAGAGGACAGATTCTGATAAGAGTAGTTATCACTAGATCAAAGCATGTTTACATTAAAAATGTTGACAACTATTACCAAATTGGTGCCCCCAACAGGTCTATCAATGGTTTTTGAAAGGACCGTACACCCCAACCAATTTTTTTTTGGTCAATTTCATAATTTATAATCATTATATATTATCCATATAAATTATTTAGTAGCTCTTTATGAGTGAGATAAGTCACTGGAAATTGTTTTTTTTCCAGTTTTTTACATGTATAACTTTATGTAGAATTTTACTGAAATTAAAAAAATTTATGTTGTGTACACTAAGTATTATAAAAGTTCTACATGATAACAAATACTACATAGTATAATATATTTTTTAGGTTTAGTTTTTTACATTTAGGTCATAAATCTACCTGGCATTTATTTTTGTGAATGATATAAATTGGAGTTCTTACTCAGTTTCACATGGTAGCCAATATGAATAGTTCTTATGAAATAAGCACTCTGGTCTCTACTGATGAATTGTAGTCTTTATCATATATTCAATTTACAAATGATCTAGGATATTTTTGAGGGAGGGGTCTCTGTTATATAGCCTTGATATAATTATCCTTTTTCAGTGTTAGTTTTGTATTTTGGCTTGCACCATATCATAATACACTCTGTATTTTATTGGGCAAGTTTTCCCCTTTTGGGGGAGGCGGAGAGTTCTTCAAAATCTTACTGAATATTCTCATTTTCAGCAATAATAGGTAGTGATTTTATCAGCTAAATTTTCTGTTATGCCAGTAGATTCCTCACTGAATCTAAAGAACAAGATTTAGGATAACTTAGGTACATGTGGACTTTGAAAGACAGGAATTTTCATATGAGGCACCTTATTAAGCACATAAAAAATACACAAAATAAAAATAAAAAACTTAATTTACAGTGCATACCCAGGACATAGTTCTAGGTGGATATTCAACCAAAAGAAGACACAATTGGATATTTTGTGATATTACTTAATATTTTATTATTACTAAAATTAGTATAGACAAATGGGGTCCTGCACTTGATATCTTATGGTATAATTATATATTTTAGAAGAAATACCATTCAGGGCTCTCCCTGTTGTGCAATGGGTTAAAGAAAGCACAGCATTATGAAGCTCTCCTACGCCACTGCAGCATGAGTTCAATCCCCCACCAGGGAGCTGACCCACGTGGAGTGGCAGACCTTTCCTGACCCACCCGCTGCTCCCCTCAGCAGAATATTTCAGTAGATCTGCCTGTTCTGCTACCCACTCTGTCTCTGGTGAATCTTACCACCCACCACACCTCTGACCTGTACCCATTCTGTAAGCAAATCTTTAAAAAAAAAAAAACAAACCATTCATTTGATAAAAGCATCATATTAAGTTATACTTGAATTTAGATATTATATACCATGTGAATGTAGGAAGATTAAAAAAGGTGGATATGCCTTTTGATATTAGTAGCACATTGAAAATTACCAGCATTTTGTCAGCCTTATCTATGGAGACTATGACATATTTTAGATAACAATGCTTACAAATGTAATTTTAATTTGCATTTTTTGCTTTTTCTTCCTCTGCGCAACTTGATTGATGCATACTTGAAGGAATTGGCAAATTGTCCACTGCTGATGGTAAAGCTTTTGCAGACCCTGAGGTACTCCGGAGACTGACATCCTCAGTAAGTTGTGCACTGGATGAAGCTGCTGCTGCACTGACACGAATGAGAGCAGAAAACAGCCACAATGCAGGACAAGTGGACACGTATGTGTTTATTGACTTTTTTTAGTATTAGACACTTTCTTGCGTGATGTTGAAGTAGCAGTTTTTGATTAAACATATCTTTTGGAGGGGTTTATAAATTTTAAGAAATGGATATTAGAGTGGATATAAACATATATACATATATATATATATTAAGGTTTCTTTATGCATATAAGAACTGGGGTACAGGCAAGAGGTGTGGGGTGGTGAGATGATTCACCAGAGACAGAGTGGGGAGTAGAACAGGCAGTTGTAGTGAAATACACTACTAAGGGGAGCAGCAGGTAAGACAGGAAAGGTCTGCACCATATGGGTCACCTCCCTGGTGGGAGACTGAACTTGTGGTGAAGTGGCTGCAGCTAGCTTTGCAGTGCTGCACTTTAACCTATTGCACCACCAGGAGAACATATATATTTTTATATAGATATAAAATACATGTTTTATTTTCTGCATTCCACTCATTCATTGAGTTTTCTTGTGGAATGTACCATAATAGAGTCTGTGAGAACTACAAACTGAACAATAATCCAAAACAAATAATTTCCATTTTTAAGGAAGTTATTTATTCCAAAAATTGCAGTAGTAAACTCTAAAGTAACAGTTTGAATATCAGCGCAATTATTTAGGTGATTGCTATTTAAATATGGTTCATGGACTAACAGCTTCAGCATCCACATCAGACCTTAAAAATGAAGAATTTCATGGTCAAAAAGAAAAACACCTGATGGTTTCACTCTTAGGAGGGATGTAGAGGATCCAAATAAGGATTAGAGAGAAAAAAAAGAAGTAGTAATTATAATAAAGTAAATATCAAAATCAATAAGAACTATAAACCAGAGATATTCTGCAGGGAGAGAGAGGGAGGATAGAATCAAAACAGGGGTGGGAACAGCACAGAGACTATGGTGATGGTGCACAGTTGATTGGTGGTAGGAATTTCATGGGGACTATAATGGAGAATGGAAAGTACACATTGTACAAAAAATGAAAAATGATGTAAAAAATATATAAAATAAAAATATATTTTAAAAAATGCAGAATTTCTGATTCTACCATAGATTTACTGAATTAGAATGTGCATTTTAACAAAAACAGTGATGTGCAGGCACATTAAAATTTGGAGTCACCAATTTTTAAAATTATTCTGCATTAACATTTTTACTTAGTTTTTCACTTACTGTTATTCAATAAAATTTTAATCCATAGGATTATATCCTATATGTCTTTGGGAATCATTTTACTAGTAGAGTTTAAAAATTTGTCTGTCTAATGCTTTTACAGGCATTTAAGATTTTAATATATATTAGAATTTTTTAAAGCTTTATTCATTTATGCATATATAAACTAGAATATAGGCCAGAGATGTGAGGGGTGAGAGGATTCAGCAGAGACAGGCGGATTGACTGTAATACACTGCTGAGAAGAGCAGCAGGTAAAGACAGGAGAGGGAGGCCTGCCACGCCATGTGGGTCACCTCCTTGCCCGGGGATTGAACTCATGCTGCCAGTGGCTTTAGATAGTTTCATAGTGCTGCGCTTAATCCCTTGCACCACCAGGGAGGGTCCTTTTAGAATATTTTGAAGGGTAAAAATAATGGTTGTTTTCATATTCAGTTTATTGCCTTTCTAGCTTGCTTGGCATACACAAATACTTTGTATTGCAAATAAAGATTGGCTCAGCGGGTTAAAGCACAGCACTAAGAAGCTTAAGCCACTTCCGCATGAGTTAGATTCCCGCCTGCCCAGAGGAGATCCACATGTCTGGCAGACCTCTCCTGACCCGCCCACTGCTCCCCTCAGCAGTGTACTTTGTCGATCTGGCTGTTCTGTTCCCCACTCTGTCTTTGGTGAACCCTCTCACCCTCCGCATCTCTGGCCTGTACCCCAGTTCTGTATGCATAAATCTTTAAAAAAAAAAAAAAGAAAGAAAAGAAACTTAGTGAAAAAGATGTTTATATGATTTTTTTTTACTGTATCAACATTTTTCAATGTATGACTATATATAGTTTGATTTATTATTATTAAAATACACATTTATTCATTGTCATGATTACACTATTTCAGCGGTATAGGTGCAAAAAAATTTATACATTAAGCCCTTGGTTGGAATGTTTTATACTTTCCACAGAACAGAAACTAAAATGATTAGTCACAAATACTGTTCTCAAGGTATTTTTGGTTTTGTTTTTGTTTTTTTTGCTCATATACATGTGAGTATTGTCTAAAACATGTCTTCTGCCACCACTGAGCTTCTCTAAGTTATCAAGTCTGCTGTAACCTCTAGCTTCCCTGTCACTTCTCTGGTTCTCCTTTCTGCTAAGTTTCATTTCTTGGCAGTAAGCGAAAACCTTCTGTTGCTGCCATAGCTATTGCTGCTACTGGTACCACCACAGCACTTTGATTTTTTGGTTTGGCTAAGTATATCCTTCACTACTATAGGGATGAGAGGTTATGTTGCCAAAGTTTCATCCTTTCCTGGGTCCAAAATTTGAAGATTGATTGTTGTAAACACCAAAACCATTCTAGCTTCTACCACCTTTGCAATTGCTTTCATCATTATCAAATCTATTATAGATAACCACTGCCACTATATCCACCACTTCCATGGCTTCCACCAAAGCTACCTTGCCACTGTAGTTTCTTCCATAACCAGTTGACATTGCCACCAAAACCATCTCAATGACCACTGTCAAAATTTCTAGAACCACACTGACCTCTTTGGCTGGATGAATCACTGGCCATCTCTTGGTTAGACAGGACTTTCCTTATTTGTGGACATTCACAGCATTGTCTACAAAATCATGATCATCAAAGGTTACAAGGCCTCTGTTCTTGCTATTGTCTTGATCAGTCACAATTTCAAGTCACTTCAGTTTTCCCACACTGCTCAAAATTACCTCCTAGGTGATGTTCTTCAGTGTCTTCTTTAACGCCATGAACAAAAATTTTTTTCAGTTAAGTGGGCATGGGGTCTTTGAGAATCTTCTCTTAACACAGCCCTGTTTAGTTCCACAACTCTTCAATCCATCTGCTTTCTGTAGCATTACATTCATGGCTGCATCCACCTCCTATACTGTGGTATAAGTGACAAATCCTTGGTATTTGAATCTCATTAATACACAGTCTGTGAACTTTCCTCATTGCTTGAAATGGCTTCTTAGTCTCATTGGTTATTTCAAAGCCTAACCTCTCATGAAGAGGTTCCATAGCTGTCCGAGTTCTAAGGGAGACCCCACTTAGATATGATGGCAGAGGAAGGGGAGACTTTCATGATGCTTATTTTACACAGGTTTAAAGGGAGTATGATTGATTATTATAGAACCCTGACTCTTTCTGTGTAAATTAATTTTTGATTGTTTTATTTGCAGTCGCAGTCTGGCTGAAGCTTGTTCAGACGGGGATGTGAATGCTGTTCGTAAATTGCTAGATGAAGGCAGAAGTGTCAATGAACATACAGAAGAAGGAGAAAGCCTGCTGTGTTTGGCTTGTTCAGCTGGATATTATGAATTAGCACAAGTAAGCAGAAATTATCCTTAGTGGATAAAATTGTGGAAGTATTTTGATGATTTATCTATTTTTATGGCTAATAAACTAATTGATGCCAAAGTCTTTCTTTTAGGCAGTTGGTAAAGTTGAAACTGTAGATAATTAACTTTATTGCCTGTGCATACAACTGGCCATGTCCATTTGTCTACCATTTACTCAAAACTACTAATGAATAAGAAACACATAGAAATAATATTTAAAATTTGCTTTTTAGCAGTATACAACTATAATACATAGTAGTGACTTGTTTTCATTTCATTCAAATTTCCACAGTTCACTTACTTTTCTCATTCTATGGGACTCCTGTGTTTAACAATTAGTTTCTCTCTTGTGCATATAGTTTTGTTGTTCTCTTTTATATAACCCAAACATAATACAAATCCTTTAACAAAGGAAGTTTTATTTTATAACAGGGTGGTTAATATGATTACTCACTTTATTTAAAGATAATAAATAATAGTATTGTAAAATATAACATCTAGCCTGGTGTTCTGAGCAGTGAATATTGGCATGATTTCCCAAAATGTGATTATTTTTCATTTTTCCTCTGAAAGTATATCTTCCTACATTCAGTACATTCTCTAGAAATATTACTAATAGTAAGAATTGACAGTTCCTCCCTGTGTGTCTATTTGTTTTAAAGGTATTGCTTGCTATGCATGCTAATGTTGAAGATCGAGGGAATAAGGGCGATATAACTCCCCTAATGGCAGCATCCAGTGGAGGTTATTTAGATATTGTGAAATTATTACTTCTTCATGATGCAGATGTCAACTCCCAGTCTGCAACAGGTATGTAGAAAACGATACATTGTTTGGAGGAAAACAGATTAATAAGATTAACTGTAACCTGTGGGGGAAAAAAAAGAAGAACCCTAGGGAAAACCAAACCAGTTGTAAACCTACAGAAAACCCTTAGCCTTTGTTCAGAATCTGAGTAAAATATAGACTAATATCTTTAAAAATCTTTAAAACACTCTTAGATTCTGTTAGGTCAAGAATAACATTTTCCTACTGTTGACAATTTCTCTTTTGCTAAAATCTGTAATAAATAGATTAAAATTAAAAACTATTTCTTTTAGTTCTTTATCTCATTTAAGTATAATTTCTTTGACTTTAGATTAACCTGAAAATATTTACCCTATAGATTTTTCATGTCAGGTGTAATGAATACATTTATTAGTATGATAAAGCTTATCAATGTTCTATACTGTTAAGTAAATATTAAATGCAAAAGTAATTATATTTATAAAATACACAGAAAACCTCTAGGAGGGATTTTAGGTTTTTTGCAAGCCACTTTGTCTTAATTGTAGTAATATTTAATATAAGTAGTTGCAGAGACTGTTGAACAGTGGATACTGAACAATTTGGATTTTTGTATGATAATTGTTTGCTGAGCTTTTAAAGCAATCAGTTAATGTGCTATGTACTATTAGATGGTGATACCCCCTCCTTTATAAACAGAAATCTTCAAAAGAAGATCAGAAATGTGACAGCTCCCAAGCTTATATATTTTTGCAAATGAATGGCGAATCAGTAAAATTTTGATGGAAAAAAATTAAGCAACAAACCAAGGGGTGATGACCTTTAAAGAAAAAAAATTTTTTTTCAAGTTGTAACTTTTTTTTAAGTTTATTTTTACATCATTTTGTACTTTTTTTTTTTTATCTCAATTGTAATCCCCGCGGGTTTCCCGTCACCAAGTCACCTGTGTGCCATTACCATAGTCCCGTGTACTTCCCTCCCACCCCCACCCCCATTTTTGATCCCATTCCCCACTCCACCCCGACAAAATGTCTCTGGTATATGGCTATTCATTATTCTTATTATTTTCTCGCCTGGTCCATTATACTCCTACTATGAACGAAACCATCCGGTATTTTTAAAGAAAAAATTTTCAAAGAATTATGTTGAGGATATTTATATTTGTCTCACTGAGTCACGTGGTAAATGAAATATTATTCAGCCATTAGGAAAGATAAAATGTTGCTGTTTACAGAAAAATGGAAGGTCGAGGAATTACATATAGTAAAGCGAATCATAATGACAAAGGTAACTATTGATGTTTATATAGATAATTTGACAAAGCTAAATACATAAAAGCATATAGATAGTAATAAATGAAGTTAGGTTTTTTAAGAGAGAAGAGAGAGTAACAGAATTTAAAGGGTTAAGAGGGATACTGGTGGGGAAAAAATATAATTTAAAAAATGCAGGGAAAAAAGATGTCAGACAAAGTATACTTAAAACAATGAATCTTATGAATGAATCTGTCAAGGTAAAGGAGTGGTATAAGAAGTTAAAAATAAATATATTTAGGAAATATTAAGTGGTTTTTAAGTGGTATAGTATTGAAGAAAAATAATTTTTGAGTGATTTGAATATTCTGAATGATTGGGTAATTTTGAATGATTAGAATGTTGAATGTGATTTTTCAAGAAGGCATTGATTTTTTTTTTTTAAGATTTATTTATTTGTGCATACAGAACTGGGGTACAGGCCAGAGGCTAAGGGACTCTAGAGGCTTTACCATAGACAGAGTGGAGAACAGAACAGGCAGATTGACAAGGTACACTGCTGAGGGGAGCAATGGGCGGGTCAGGAGAGGTCTGCCGCGCCATGTGGTCACCTCCGGGGCAGGCGGGAATCGAACTCATGCGGAAGCGGCTTTAGATTCTCAATGCTGTGCTTTAACCTCCTGCGCTACCAGGGAGGGCCCATCATTGATTCTTATTAAACAAGCTAAGGAATTATTAAGAGTGGAAATTTGATGTTTCTAATGGACGCTTCCAAGAATACGTTTTTGTTTTTAGCAAATACTTGATATATTAAGAAAATCGAAAAAGATCATAGTATTAGAGGCATATATGTGGTAATGAAGAATAATATAGATTCACTTAAAGCTTGCTGAATATTGTTTAGGTATTTGAGTTACTTAGATCAAAATGTATTTGTTTGTTTTCATTTTTATGCAAGCTCTGTGCTTGGCCAGTTGGAGGATATATGAAGTAAAACCTGCCTTCAAGTAGGTTAGTATTGAGTCAGAGACAATACCAAGTGGTATAGATAAAATAATTAAAACTATAATTCAATAGAATATAAACTATTTAAATGCTATGACAGTGCTACAATTGAATAAAAAGCCCCAACTATTGTTGCTACTGCTCCTGCCACTACTGCCTCTGAGCTTTTGCTCCACACCCTAAGTTGTTTCTTTAGGAAAAATACCTTGACATTTCCTTTTTCTGTTTTTATATGAAATACAAGTATGGAATATAAAAACTGGTCTGTTCCTGTCATTTATTATAATTTGGCAGCTTTGTATGTATCCTTTAACTTTTGAAAATCATTCCTTGTATTAATTACATCAGAAAATATCTCTTATAGTAACATAAAAGAAATACATTTGATAGAACCACCAGATTTATTTCTCTTTATGAAAGTATATCTAATAAAAACATGAAAAATATAGAGAAGTAGAAAGCATAGAGTTACTCTTGCTCTGTGTTTGGCATGGAAATTCACACTGTTACCATGCTAATCTTTTTCTTTATAATATTTCTGTATAAAGTTACATAGTTGAACATATATTCTATATCCAATTTTGTATATTATTTCACTTTTCCTCTTTTATTAACTATTCACAAACATTTAAAAAGTTGTATAATCCATTGCTTTGTCACGGCAGTTTTTAGAATGGAGGTGAGATCCATTGTAGAATCACAGCAAAAGATTTTTAAAATAGGATGCTAAATAACTTGCTTTTGATTAGTATCATTAGGGCCATGTACATACTTGTTCTGTTAATACTTAGCAAAGAAGTTACTACCATCAATGATATTTTAAAATTCTCTCTGAAGATTCTTGGAGATTATCCAATTCCTTGGGTTTTGAAATTTGCTTTCAGCTAAAATAATTCTGATTTTATATCAGATCGCTTTTTTACTTTCATTTCTCAGTTTCTTTCAGGAAAGTCTTGTTTAGTTTTCTTGTTTTTGTAACTTTGTAGTTTTTCTCCTGTTAGTTGATTTCTAGTTTTATTTTATAGATTTATTTATTTATGCATATGAGAACTGGAGCATAGGCCAGAGGTGCAGGGGGTAAGAGAATTCACCAGAGACAGATTGGTGACAGAACAAACAAATAGACTGAAAATACACTGCTGAGGTGAGCAGTGGGCAAGACAGGAGAGGTCTGCTTTGCCATGTAAGTTACTCTTTGGCTAGGGATCACTCATCTGCAGTGGCAGGTGATAGCTTCATAGTGCTGAGATTTAACCCCATCAGAGATGCCCGATTTCAAGCTTCATACCACTGTGGTTGGAAAAGATAGTATGATTTTTAGATTTGTTGAATTTTCAAAGAAAATGTTCTATGAGCACTTGGAAAAAATGTATATTCTGCTGTTGTTCAATAGAATGCTCTTATCTGAGAATCCAGATTTTAACAAGAGCATATGGAAACAAAGATGTAATAATAGTACACAGACAATATGGGAGATAGGTAGAGGTGGGGGCTTAAGGTCCTGAGGTGCTCTCCATCTCCTTCTCCCTGTTGTTTCTGAGAAACATCTAGGGGGGATTTTGAAGTTCTTTGGAACACAGTTTGCAAAGTACCAGATTATTCCAACACCTTCATTTTTCAAAAGGTAGTAGGATAGACATCTTGAGAGAGGAATGGGCTTGCCTGAGGTCAAGTTCAATTTTTAATTAACTTAATTGTTTGCTTGAACAATTACACCTACTGCTTTCATGTTAGAATCATTTAGGGAGCTTGTTAAAAATATTTTTTCCTAGGATTTTTTCTTTCATAGTCCAAAGCATTGAGTCTAGAGAGAGAGACCAAAAACCATGTCTTCACATGCATTACTATGGAGGGGATGTGCAGCTTGCTCATCCTTGTACTTGTTTGCTTTTACTTGTTTTTCCTTTGACCCAAGAATAACCTGCCCCATCTATAGGGTCCTGCTCACCCTTGAGGTCTAAATGTAGCCACTTCTTTTTCTTTTTCAAGGCTTTTTTTGAGAATATTTTACATACCGTGAAATTCATCAGTTTTATATGTACCTGATTTTTAGAAAACATAGTTGAGCAGTCTTCAGTGCAATCTAACTTTAGAACATTTCCATCACCACAAAAAGATTCCTTATGCTCATTTGCAGTCGCCCAGTATCAAACAACCACTAACTTGGATCTTCAGGTTTGCCTTTTTTGGACATTTCAGATTATTTGGACATTTGTAATATATATTATTTTATACTAAATTTTAAAAAATGTTTAACATGAAAATTAGGATGATGCTTCTAATCAACATGACACCAACAGAAACCCATGGTGATAGTTCTAGTGGTTATGTAAGGAAATTGAAAAGCTATAACTACAGAAATACACAAGCATAACTATATTTTGTCATAATTTTGTATTTCTTTTTACTATTTGTTAGGAAATACTGCACTAACTTACGCCTGTGCTGGAGGATTTGTTGACATTGTGAAAGTGCTGCTTAATGAAGGTGCAAATATAGAAGATCATAATGAAAATGGACACACCCCCTTAATGGAAGCAGCCAGTGCAGGTCATGTGGAAGTTGCAAGAGTTCTTCTAGATCATGGGGCAGGCATCAACACTCATTCTAATGAATTCAAAGAAAGTGCCCTTACACTTGCATGCTACAAAGGTACTTTTTATACATATATGAGTATTTATAGGATTTTTTGAGTTAATTTTATAGTTTGTTTTCCCTGTCCTATATAATTATCTACCAGGTAAGAGATTACATAGTAAGTTTATTTAGCCTGTTAATTTCTTATAACATAGTTTCACAGTGTGTGTTGATTATTTTAATTCAAATTTACTCAATTAGCTGAAAAGACTGCTAAATTCCTGGTACTTTAAAGGACTTCCATTATTTAATAACTTTTATTTTATGATTTTTCCAACCTTTATTTCACAAATAATGCACAATAAATAATCACCTTGATACAGAAAAACCTGAAAAACAGAATAGCTTCAAGAAATTTTACAATGACATGTAAAGATGTAAAAAGCATGTAAAGAATATTTTTGGTGCATTTATTTGCAGTTTAAATATATTTATAAACAGGCCTAATGGATATTTTTAAATAAAACAATTATACTCTTAACACTTAAAATCTGTATTTTATTTAGTTGTATATCATGGACATTTTCCCATCTTAATAAATAACTCTTATAACTTTTGATGGTCACATAGTAATGTGTGATTTCAGTTAGAAGTGAGTTTGTTTGCTCTTCATAATATCAAAATGACCCATGATTTGGATAAGAGAGCCTTGTTCTCTTGTGCAAAAAAGTCAAATTCAAAGGTGGGCTGTCTAAGGGCTATTTTGCATCAAGATCTCAGAATTATATTTCTTACTGTGTGGTTTCTGTCCTTAAGATTCCCTACAATCCATGATGGTAGCCAAGGCCCCAGCAATTCATGTTCTAGGAAGGATGAAAATTGGCTACAGGCAAAATGGGGATTGCCTTCAAGTTTAGTTATCTCACTTTAAGAAATTTTTTTAGAAGTTCTTCTTTAAATCCCTACTTCTCATTTGCTATATACATAGCAGCAAAAGAGGCTGGGAGATGTCAGACATGTTGCCACTCAGATGAAATCACAGTTGTTTTAAGAAGGACTGAGAGAATGGATGTTAGGTAAGGAACAGGCAGTCTTCTCCAAATGTATCAAATGAATGCACCATAATTGCCTATTGTTGGACAATTGAATTATTCCCAGTTTTTCACTTATTAAAAACACTGTGATAACATCCTTGTGCAGACATCTTTGCCTAATCTCTGATTATTTCCTTAGGGTAAATTCCTGGAAGTGGAATTGCTGGGTAAAAGGGCATGGACATTTTTAAGGTTTTTAATACATATTGCCAAATTGCCTTCTAGAAAGGTTGAATCAATTTACACTCCCACCAGCAGTGTTTGAGAGTGCCCTTTACCCTACACCCTCACCAACACTGGGTATTACCGTTCTTTTTAATATTTGCCATTTTGATAGGAAAAAATGGTGTTTAATTTTATTTGCATTTGTTTATTAGGAAGATTTAATATTCTTTTCATCATTTGCATTCAGTTTTGAATTGCTGTTTCATGTCCTCCATCCATTTTTCTATTGGAATTTGTCTTACTGATAATTAACGCTTTTTTTATATTAATATATCAAGATTTTTTTAGATTATTTTGAATGGAGTTTTCTATGCCTGCTCATTGCCACTGTGAGTTTATGGTTATTATTTCAAAGCTGTTTTTCTGAAAAAAATAGCCATACTTACTTTAACCAGCATTCTATTTGATTTTGATGTTTTAACTTGATAGTTTATATAGATTAAATAAAAGAATAATTGTTGTTGCTTTACTTGTGTGTTTTTTAGATTAATTAAATCTTTGAAATCTAGATAGGCTTTGACAAGAATCTTATTTTAGATTGGCTTATAAAACTTATTTATTGAATGCAAACTGCGTTCTCTTATAAATTTTGTACAGACAACTGAAAGAAGAAAATTCTCTTTAGCACTTACATATTAATTTGATCCTCAGTTCTTTAGAAATTTTATGTTTCAATTTGTTTTGTTTTGTTTTTTAAGGCCATTTGGATATGGTTCGCTTTCTGCTTGATGCTGGTGCAGATCAGGAACACAAAACAGATGAGATGCATACTGCCTTAATGGAAGCTTGCATGGTAATTTTAAATTGTGTTCACTTGAGATTTTATGGGAAGAACAGATTGTATGTGTTTAAGCCTTTGTAGTTTAGTGGAGTTTTTTGAAAACTTTCATTATAAGATTTGAAAATTTTGTATAATATCAGGAAAGGGAAATATACAGTGTTTTTGATAGTAAATCTCAGTGTAGGAAACAGTACAAAAAGCGGGCATGGCAAAATCACAACAGTGATAAACTTTTTATTTTCAACTTCTTGAATTGTAGTAAAATACATGTAACATAAAATATAAACAAAATCATATAGTACTTGTCTTTCTGTGAATGGGTTATTTCACTCAGCATGTCCTCAAGATTGATTCATCCATGTTGTCAGAATTTCCTTCTTCTCCAAGACTGTATAATAGTTTATTGTATGTATAAGCCACATTTTGTTTATCCATTTCTCCTTTGATAACCATTTGGCTTGCTTCTATGCTTTAGATGTTGTAAATAATGCTACTGTAAACATGGGTGTACAGATAGCTCTTTGAGTCTCCACTTTTAATTCTTTTGATTATATACCCTAGAGTGGCATTTCTCAATCATGTGGTAATTCTGTTTTTAACTTTTTGAGGACACATTTAGTACAGTGGTTGTGTATTCCCACTAGTAGTATCCAAATTTCTGTTTTCTTCACATCTCCACCAACAGTTATTTTATCTATTTTTCATGATAGTTATAGTGGTTGAAGTGGCATCTTGTGCTTTTGATTTGAACTTCCCTACCCTAGTGATTCAGTGATATTAAGCATGTTTTCATTGGTCATTTGTATATACTTTGTCGAAATGTCCATTCAAATCCTTTGCTCATCTTTGTTTATTTTTTCTTTTGTTGCCTTTATTTTTTATATCATATCCAAGAAATTATTGCCAAATCCAAAGATATAAAGCTTTGTCATTTTTTTTTTCTGAGAGTTCTATAGTCTTAAGTCTTTGATCCATTTTGAGTAAATCCTTGTACATGGTATAAGGTTAAGATCTAATTTCATTCTTTTGCATGCAGATATCTAGTTTTCCCAACACCATTTAATGAAAAGACTGTCATTTCTCAATTGAATGGTCTTAATACCCTTGTCAGCAATATTTGACCAATGTGTAAGGGTTTATTTCTGTGCTCTGTATTCTATTGTTTTCTCTATGCCTGTCTTTAAGCCAGTATTACCAGGTTGTAATTACTCTTAAGTTTTGAAATCTTGAACTATGAGTTCCCTAGTTTTATTTTTCTTTTTCAAGATTGTTTTGGCTATTTCAGGATCTCTTTAGATTCTTTGAATTTTCTATTTCTTGCCAAATTCTTAAGGGGCTTTTCATAGGAATTACATTTAATCTGTAGGTTGCTTTGGGTAGTATTGACATCTTAACAGTACTATATGTTCTGATTGATGAATATGGAGCATGTTTCCATTTAGTTAAATCTTTAATTTCCTTCAGCAATATTTTGTAGTTTCATTTATACAAATGTTTTATTTCCTTGATAAATTCCTAAGTCCTATTTATATTTTGGATACTGTAGTAAATGGAATTGATTTTGTCATACCCTTTTCAGATTACTTATTATTAGTATATTGAAGTGTACCTGATTTATATGTTGACTTTGTGTCCTGGTACCTTACTGAATTTACTACCTATCAATATTTTGTGTGTAGAGATAATTTTATTTCTTTGTTTCTGATTTGGATGTTTTTTTTTTTGATGTTTTTTTTGTTTTTTTTTTTTTTTTTTTGCCTAATTGCTCTGGTTAGAACTTTCAGTACTATATTGAATAAAAGTGGTGAAAGTAGCATCCTTACCTTGTTCCTGACCTTAGAGAAAAAGGTTGCAATGTTTCACCACTAAGTGGATTTTTCACATATGACTTTTGTTATATTAAGGTACTGTGCTTCTGTTCCTGCTTTGTTGAGTATTCTCAGAATGAAAGGACATTCTATTCTGTCAAATCCATTTTCTGTATCAATGGAAATGATCCTGTGATATTTCTCCCCTCCGCACCCCCATTCTGTTAATATGGCATCTTACATTGATCAACTTGTTTATATTGATCTATCTTTGAATTCTAGGAATAAATCTCACATGGTCATTTATGCTGCTGAATTTCTTTTGTTAGTATTTTGCTGAGGATTTTTGCATTAATGTGTATAAAGAATACTGGTCTCTAGTTTATCTGAATTCAGTATCATGGTGATGCTGACCTCATATAACGCATTCAGAAGTATTCCCTCCTCTTCAATTTTTTGGAAACGTTTGAGGAGTAGTATAAGTCTTCCTGATACGTTTGGTAGAATTTACTAGTGAACTAGTAAGGTTCAGAACTTTTACTTGTTGAAAGATTTTTTTTGTTCCTGATTCAATCTCTTTACTTGCTATGGGTCTACTTTGATTTCCTGTTTTTTCATGATTTAGTCTTTGTAGGTTTTGTATTTCTAGCATTTTGTCCATTTCATCTGTGTTATCCAATTTGTTGGTGTGTAATTGTTCATGTACAGGAGTAGTATACTTAGTCCTGCAGTCCTTTTTTCTGATTTTAGTGATTTGAGTCTTTTGTCTTTTTTCTTAGTCCAGCTAGCTAAAAGTGTATCAATTTTTTTGATCTTTTGAAAGAGTAAGCTTTTGGCTTTTTTTTCCTCTATTCTCTATTTTGCTTTTCTCTGCTCTAATCTTTATTACTTCCTTCTAATAGTCCTGAGCTTAGTTCCTTTAAATGATTTCTAGTTTGTGCTATTAACCTGATTTTAAATAAATACAATAACCTGAGTATATCTTTGAGAAAGGACAGTTACGTTTAATCTCAAAGTAATATATTTGACTTTAATTATTGCTAAAACTCTAATCTTGGATATCAGTAGACATAGTTTTAATGTTTTTGCAGCTTCATATTAAAAACCCTATAAAGCAAATTGACGTTCAATGTATATAGACTAATGTGTATGCTATAGATATCCTATAAGGTATTTATTTATTTTCAGGTTAACCTTGGATTAGATTCATCGTTCATCTTCAATGCAGTCAACATAAAATCTTTAAACTGGAAGTTTAGGCCATTTTCTATATTTCATAACTAAAAGAACTGAGAGACAAGAAAATTCAATAATCTTTTTCCACATCAAACAATTAGATAGGTAGCAGATGTTTGAGGCCTACCACAAATAACTGTTTAGGTTATAAAAGGTTATATGATAGCCCTGCCTTAGCATAGGTCTTATTTTTTCTGTCAAGAATTTCTGCTATGAACATTATGTTTACTCTTATTTAAGGCATTTTTAGACAATATCATTTGTTACAAAATTGTAGGGAAAACTTACAGTAAAAATGAAATATATGTGCCAATAATTTTTTGAATATACTAACAGTTGCAAAAAGACTTAACAGATTTTCTGTTGAAAGCACAAACTTTCAGAATAAAAATATTTTAATAGCAGTACTTAGCAAATGTAAGCCTGTGTTGATAAAATAATACAGGCAACATAAAGAAAATACTGGATTTCAAGAATATTTCTAGTATATTTGGTCATAGATCAATACAGGAACTGTTTTACTTATTTTTGTAGGCACATACATAATCATGCAAATATGCATACCATAAACAAAACATCAGATACAGAGAAATTAGAGCTGAGTGTTTAAGACATTTTTAATACACTATAAGTGAAACTAATTTTTGAGATGCGATTAAGTACTATGTAATACCTATTTTGTTGTCCATGACAGTATTATAAATCACTCAGAAGATAATGACTTATTACAGCAACTGTTTTATTTCTCATGAAATAACAATTCCATTGTTTTCTTTTAGTAGGGAAGTTTCTCATGCAGTGCTGCCAGATAGTGACTGGCTGGAATTTCCGACATGGTATAATTTGGCACTTTGCTAGTGATGTTTGGAAGTCTGGGACCTCTTGCCTTAGGTGATCGCTCCATGGGCTTCTTTACTGATAGCTAGAATCTCAAGAATTAGCATTCTAAGAGAAAGGCTTTAGAATTGGCACAGCATCATTTCTACCAAATTTTATGGATTAAGCAGTCATGGAGCAGCACACATTCAGAGAGGTGTGGGAGATAAAATTTATCTCTCGATGAGAAGGTGTGATGAAGAATTTGCAGTCATCTTTTACAACTCCTAAGGAAAAAAATTCACAAGCCATATCTGTATTACTTTATCTCTGAATAAGGTATCCTTGTCCTAACAAGGATATGCCAACAATTCAAGGTAAATAAAGATGATTAGTATAGTACATTATAGGAAAAGAATTAATACAGTTGTGTTAATGGCTCTCCTAAATAATTATTTGCAGTGTAAATCAGTAATCTTTCTCCTGGAAATGATTAAAAAATAAAATGCTTTTTGAAAATAGGTATAACAACCTGCCAATCCTAAGTAGATGACTGAATTTTACATGTATGTACACCATGTAATCAACCAAATTAAGAGATAGTACTCTAGAGGGTGGCTTACCTTTACCCTCTCCCAAGCAGTACAGTACCCACCTTCAAGGGTAACCACAATCTTTTTTTTTTTTTTTTTAAGATTTATTTAATTATACATAGAAAGAACTGGGGTGTAGGCCAAAGATGTGGGGAATGAGAGGATTCACCAGAGATGGAGTGGAAAGCATAACATACAGATTTACTGAAATATAGGCTCTATTTCAAATGGTAGGAGAGAGAAAGCTAGAGTGAATGTAGCATTCATCTAATGTGTTTCGTTCTTTTAGTTTCCATATTCTTAGTCCAATTTTGCTACTGTCCAATGACCTCTAACCACTTGCTTTCTCATTTTTCCTAGCGGTTTATGATCAGTGAGTAAGTCTCTTTAGAGCTACTGCTCTCTGATAAGAGATTTTTCATGAACAATAATGGGCAACATAGAAAAAACTTAAGTATAATGAAACTCTTGATGGAAAATGAAGCCCAAAGTTTTTTCAGGTTTCTTTAATTCTTGAATAAGAGTTTTAAAAAAAAAATTTTTGCCCACCTTTATAATTGCTTTTGCATTCAGTTTTGTTTTTCCTTAGCAATATTTTGAAATATAAAACAACACGGCATCTAACTTTATCCTAAAACAAGAGTTAAGGCCTACACAAAAACTTGAGAATTTGAAAGTAAAGAACATTTGTAGTGATTGAAGGTAGCCCTGAGTTTTTAATTATCTTGCTTCCATATAGACTGATCACGGTAAAATTATTTACAAGTGAATATTTGTTTTTCTGTCTTTGTAAAATGCTTTGCCTGATTGCAACAAATAAGTGATGAGGAAAAATGTGGGATTAATATCCACAGGGGTTTACCTTGGTGACATAATCCCAAGTGGTAATGACTTCACAGAATTATTATTTTTGCCAGACCTTCGCCCTTTCTAGCATAGATCTAATACAGCTTCTACACTTAGATATGACAAGTTTGAGGGATAACTAACTATATGTGACCAGACAATAGTATAAACAGTATAATTATTTTGACATGCCATTGACTATGGGATTAACAGTTTTTTGAACTTCATAGAATGTAGAAATTTAAAATTCATGGAATTGTAACTATGTCATGAGTCTGATTCTCTTTGGAAACTCTTGGGCTTGCTCAAAAGTAAGGTAAAAGTAATTTTAATTGACTTTTCATAAGACAGAGCCCAAATTCCTAGATGTGCCTGATAATATATATATGCATCTAAGCTATGTCTCCTTTTCTTCTACCCTTTCCTTTCCCTAATCTCTTGTTTTTTTTTCCCCTCCAACTAAAAAAAAAAACAAAAAACAAAAACCTTAAAACAAACAAAAAAATTCCTTCTTGCTTTACTTCCGAAAATCTGCAGGATGGACATGTAGAAGTAGCACGTTTGCTTTTGGATAGTGGTGCTCAAGTGAACATGCCTGCAGATTCGTTCGAGTCTCCATTAACACTAGCTGCCTGTGGAGGACATGTTGAACTGGCAGCTCTTCTGATCGAAAGGGGAGCAAATCTTGAAGAAGTTAATGATGAAGGATACACTCCCTTGATGGAAGCTGCTCGTGAAGGACATGAAGAAATGGTGGCATTACTCTTAGCACAAGGTAGAGTTACTTTAATAAAAACAATCAATTTGCTTTGGATGTTTTGTGTCAATATCAGTGTAGATTACTACAACTAATTAGTTTTTTTGGTTTTTGTTTTGTTTTGTTTTTTGTTTGCATTGGTTCTGGGAGGAACCCCAGAAGTAGAAACAAAAGAGATGATAATCATAATTCAGAACAATTAATATCTTTGTTGTAAGTCTTTAGCAGCTAGTTTTATTATATATTATGTTTTTCCCCCTACTAATGCCAGGAGCAAATATAAATGCCCAGACAGAAGAAACTCAAGAAACTGCTCTTACCTTGGCTTGCTGTGGAGGATTTTCTGAAGTTGCAGACTTTCTGATTAAAGCAGGGGCTGATATAGAACTTGGCTGTTCCACACCTCTGATGGAGGCTTCTCAGGAGGGTCACCTGGAGTTGGTTAAATATTTACTGACTGCTGGTATGTAGCTTTAAAATTGTCTTTTACAAAAAGGCTTTTATAAAGCTTCTGTAACTGAACAATTTAACTTGTTCCTTTATGAAACTTGAAACATAGTTTCACAATTTAATTGTTTATTTTAGGTTCCAAAGTAATTTTCTACATTGTTTCTTATTGATAATTTTTTCGTAATGACTATAAATATCCTGGATCTCCTCTCGTGCATTCTGGAGGCGAAAGTTAGTCTTTGGGAAAAAAATTGTTTTTTAAATTAGAGGAAATTGGGGTGACATCTTGATCATTTCTTCACATTTCTAAGTCTTCTCAAAAAAAAATTTTTTTAAAGATTTATTTATTTATGCATACAGAACTGGGGTATAGGCCAGAGGTGCAGGGGCAGTGAGAGGCTTCACCAGAGACAGTGGACAGCAGAACAGGCAGATGCACAAAGAGCACTGCTGAGGGGAGCAGCCAACAGGTCAGGAAAGGTCTGCCCCGCCATGTAGACCACCTCCAGGGTGGGGATTGAACTCATGCTGAAGTAGCTTTAGCTTCTTAGTGCTGTGCTTTAACCTGCAGCACAACCAGCGAGGGCCCCTCAAAAAAAATTTTTTTTTAAAAAGAACAAATGAGGTTTTCATTTGGAGGCCAGAAATACTTAATTTTAAAATAATTTTTGCTTTATGCACTGTTAAACAATAGTAAGAAAGTGTTTCTATGTTAATTGTAGTTTTATAAAGCAAAGATATACCAGAAAAATTGACCCAAATATATATAGACAAAAACTTTTTGTATGTCCTTGGAAAGAATATAAACATTTTACTTGGTCTGCAATCCAAAACCTAACATTATTTAAAACTGAAATATAAATAAATGATATGTAAAAGTCAGTAAAATATTTAACAGAACTTTATTCATCCTTTTGGGATTTCCACTGTTAACATTAATTTGAGTATAGTTGACCAGCCTCAGTTTTCCCTGAATTATTAATTTCTTAATAAGTTTGGATGAATTTTTTTAGCTTTTGAACTAAGTAGAAAACAAAAAGCTGACCTCTTACTGTTGATCATTATAATTAGAATAATACTTGGTTCAGCCATCATTCTGTCTTCATTTTTTGTGACTCTCACTGTCCCATTTAATTCTTTCTCTATCAGCATTTACCTTTATACTTTTTTCCCACATCCTTCTCTTATGTAAAGTCATGCTATTTTAAGAGGCTTTTACAAGATGCAGTAAATATTTACTGAGAAATTATTGAATACCAGGCATTCTGCTCAGCTCTTGTGTTAACTGAGTTGTTACTTCCCCCTATATAGTAAGAAATACTAAATACATTCTTACAGATATGGAAACAACCACATCATCTTTCTTTCTTGTTAGTAAATAAGCTTATGTGACCAAACAGTTTTCAAACTGAGAATTCCTAATACTATTTTTTCTATTGCGTCAACATTGATTCTCATGTTTAGTTACTTTTGCTAGTTTGAAGTACTTTCTAGAACTCTCTCAGGAGTTTGAGAATCACACTTCTGTCTATAGATCAGTATCTAAAAAGACTGTGATCTAGTAACATAAAATTATTCTTCTAGTATAGGAGTAAAAAATCCCTCCAGTGGAGCTGGAAAAGATCGTGCTTAGTGAGATAAACCAGAAAGAGAAAGAAAAATACCGATGGTTTCACTCATAGCAGGAGTATAATGGACCAGGCGAGAAAATAACAAAAATAATGAACAACCATATACCAGAGACATTTTGTGGGGGTGAAGTAGGGAATGGGATCAAAAACGCGGGGTTGGGGAGGGAGTGCACGGGATTATGGTGATGGCATACAGATGACTCGGTGATGGGAAACCCGTGGGGATTACAATTGCGATGGAAAAAAAAATGTACAAAATGATGTAAAAATAAACTTTTGTAATAAAAAAATAAAAAATAAATCCCTCCAATAGATCTTTTCATGCATTGCTTATACAACTAAAAATATTTAAAAACTATTTTGCTAAGTGGCATATTTCTGAACACATAGAAATAGGAACTATAGTACACTCTTCCCTAAGAGCTGATCATCCAGATTTTTTTTTCTTTTAAGATTTATTTATTTATGCATATAGAACTCTGGTACAAGCCAGAGGTGCAGGGGCTGCGAGAGGATTCACCAGAGACAGAGTGAGCGTTCAGAACAGGCAGATCGAGGAAGTACACTGCGAAGGGTGCAGTGGGTGGGTCAGGAGAGATCTGCCGCGCCTTCTGGATCACCTTCCCTGGCGGGGATGGAACTCGCACTGAAGCGGCTGCAGCTAGCTTGCAGTGCTGTGCAGATTTTTTTTTTTTTTTAAGATTTATTTATGCATACAAGAATTCGGGTACAGGCCAGAAGTGTGGGGGGTGAGAGATTTACAAGAGACAGAGTAGGGAATAGAACAGGCAAATGGACTGAAATACACTACTTAGGGGAGAAGCGGGCAAGTCAGGAGAGGTCTGCGACGACATGTTTGTCACCTCCATGGCTGGGGATTGAACTTGTGTTGCAGTGGCTACGGTTAGCTTCATAGTGCTGCACTTTAACCTGTTGCAACACCTGGGAGGGCCCCTATCATCAGCTTTAATACTTTTTAATTAATGGCCAATTCATTTTATTTATACCATTCCATATTCCCATTTATTTTTATAAAATGTTTATTTACTTGAAATAAATCTTTTCATTTTAATTTCTAATTTGAAAATTAATCGTTAAAATTATTTTTATAAATGAATTTGTCAGTATGTGCCTCTAAAAAATGATCTTTTAAAAAAATAACTATAACCGTTTTCCTACCCAGAATTTTAATATTAATCATTAAATATCCGAATAGTTTTTATATTTTCACGATAATCTTATAAATGCGTGTTTAATGACTGTTTTGAATGCATGTTTTAGTCTACAAGCTCTCCTTCCTTCCATCCTTTTTTCATTTTCTTTGATGCTTTTAGTTGAGGAAATGGAGTGTTATATACTAAGTGTGAGTTTTGTTGATAGTATCTCCATGATTTTATTTGACTTGATTTTGTGTCCCTTGAATTTCCCCATATAGTAGTAGTCAGGTCTAGAGACTTCACTGATATCTGCCATGATGTGTGTATATGTTTGTGTGTTTACTACATTTCTTCATAGATAATACTTAAATCAGGTGTAATTTCATCAGGAGGTAGTAAATGTCTATCTCTTTGTGCTGTTATTAGCCATTGATGATTATTCACTAACTCATTAGGAGTTGCTTAGTGTTGATATTTCTAAATTCTGTTATTCCTTTCTTGTTAACTAAAATACATCTATAAAAAAGAAACTTCCCCATAACAACTATTTGGTTGCCCTCAGCTATAAAGCATATAGGAATGACAATATAAATGTTTGTTATTTCTCACCCAGTTAAATTTACCAGTTTCCAAAATGATCTGGCATTTAGGCGCCGAGGGTCCTTCATTGGTGACCAATGAAGTGGTTTTGGTTTTGATTTAAACATCATCAAAAATGTTGGGGTTCAAGCATACGTGATGACTTTTACCCAATCACAGTCCTCATTCTTTTTGTTGTAAAAAATTGTCAGAAGTTGTAATAATATGATTGTATGTGATCAATAAAGTTAGCGCATAAAGCATTTTGGTATGACCTCTCTTATCACCTCTCTTTATAGTCTCTGAAGCATTCCTTGAATTCGGATTTGGCAAGGTGTTTCAGGCACACCTAATATAAATTCTGTTTCTGTCTTGGAAATAATCATTTCTCTAATAAGCTCTAACTATGAATAGGAAATGATTATCTAGGAATCACAGTCTAAAGATACTATTTTTATGTGGTTTGTCATTGTCTCTAGTTCTTTTCAGTTGATCAGAGTTAGGACATACTTAATTTTCTTATCCATAAAGTATATCATGAGTTTATGTCATTACTTTCACTTCATAGCAAGGGTGTTTTTTACTTAATCACAACAGTTTTGTATTGTGCTTTCTAATCTGTATTTTCTCTCAGCCATGTCAAAAATTTCAATTCCAATCAAAGGATTACTCAGTTGCTTTTTGCCAGAATCCTAGAATTAAAGCGAATATTTTCAACAATGTGATTGATGAAAACAGTTTGATATTTTTTGGTTTTGTGGTACTTTTATTTCCTAGAATATGTCTTACTAAGGATGTATAAACAATGTTTTGTTTTAAAAGCAGTTGGTATAATTCCTTTCTATGTAGTTAAAAGTACTTTTGAGAAGCATATTTAAAGGAGTTTGGATATTTAAAGTATATTCTGATTATATTCATATCTTTATTAATTCAATTTGCAAAGTTGCAGTACCTACTATAGTTTCATAATTCACTAAGTAAGTATATGGTATTTTTGTTTGCTAGGTGCTAATGTCCATGCTACAACAGCAACAGGAGACACAGCCTTAACCTATGCTTGTGAAAATGGACATACAGATGTTGCAGATGTTTTACTTCAAGCAGGAGCCGACTTAGTAAGATATTTTTAATCTCAAATATTTTTGTGTTAATATAATTGTTAGTAGACATTTATTTTTAACATTTAAAAAGCTAGGTAAGAAGATTGATAATTTGCATGCATTGTATAAATAAAAAGCCTAGCTATTTGTTCTAATTGTTACATTTATTAAATATATTTTAAAATAGTGCTTAATAGAGCATACTATTTCTTTTCTGTGGTAAAACAGTTTCTTCATTTCAACACTCATATTTTTTTTTTTAACTACTCTTAATTAGACACCATAAATTCAGTGGCAGGTTTACAGAATAGAAAACCTGTCAAGTTATTTTAATTCATTTTATTTCTCTAATTAAAAACAAACTGCTATTAACAAATATTCCAGCATTCATTTTTCTGTTTTGACTTTTCATATTTTCAAATTAGATAGCAGTTTTATATGTGTAATAATTACAAATGTGGAAAACAGAAAAAAGACAACTTCATGCTTCTTGCTAAACTGTGTACTTTGACTAGTTTTTCTTTTGTGAGGCTACATTAAATTATCCTCTAGTATTTTCCCCAGAATTGCATTATATATTTCTATTTTTGTTTGTTATATATTTCTCTACAGTCCATGTGAGAGATACATAAATAAATGCCATAGTTTTTAATTTCTTTTTAAAGATTTATTTATTTGTGCACAGAACTGGGGTACAGGCCAGAGGTTCAGGGGCGGTGAGAGGATTCACCAGAGACAGAGTGGGGAACAGAACAGGCAGCTCGACGAAGTACACTGCTGAGGGGAGCAGCGGACGGTCAGGAGAGGTCTGCCGCGCCATGTGGTCACCTCCAGGGCAGGCGGGAATCGAACTCATGCGGAAGTGGGTTTAGATTCTCAGTGCTGTGCTTTAACCCGCTGCGCCACCAGGGAGGGCCATCTATAATCAACTTTAATAGTTTCAGCTACTTAAGAAAAAACCATATAAGTATTGCGTTTTTGTTTTATTTTTTTTTAAAGGATGTATTTATGCATACAGAATTAGGGTACAGGCCAAAAGTGCAGGGGCAATGAGAGGATTTACAAGAGACAGAGTGGGGAGCAGAACAGGCAGATGGACGAAGTACACTGCTGAGGGCAGAGCAGCAGGTGAGACGAGAGCTCTGCTGCACCATGTGGGTCACCTCTCTGGTGGGAGATTGAATTCGTGCTGCAGTGGCTGTGGATAGCCTGATATCCTGTTGCACCACAAATACTGCCTTTTAAACCATTTCCTACAAACATTCTTAAATAGATACATGAGAACATTGTTGGGAAAACAGTGTGATTTTGTTACTTGTTATCATTTCTACTAATTCTAACTATTGCAGTTATAATGCTAGAATGCGTTTTCATTCCAGAATCTGCCCTACCCAGAATCTGTCCTATCAGAATTTTTGAGAGGTGTGTTCCTCTTTTGTTTTAGATTTATAATGGAAAGGTATTAAGTAGATTTACTGCCTTTGTAAAATAATTTTTCCTTTTGTAGAGTTGCTTTGGGTCATCTATAAAAATTAAGAATTGAAGTATTTTATAACTTGAAGTAAAATAACAGGATAAAGTTGAGGTGCTTCTTTAATCAATATAGTAGTTTATCCTATACATTCTGATCTGAATTTTCGACTTTTCTATAAAAATTCACTTAATCTGTTGATAGTTATTCTGAACATATTAAACAAGAGAATAGAATGATCTGTTAAATGAACCCTTATGTATTTTAAAACATTATTGATTTTTCCATTACATTTAAAACTCTGAAATATTTTTAAATGTTTATTTTAACAGATGCCTAAATTAGGTAAAAGTGTTTATGTTAGAGTGCCTTAAAAGAATTGCATTAAATGAACAGATAGATTTATATATTTTTTAAAAATAATAGTCTATTTTTACATCATTTTGTGCATTTTTTCATCTCAGTTGTAATCCCCGTGGGCTTCTCATCACCAATCACCCATGTGCCATAGTCCAGTGTATTTCCCTCCCCCCACTATTTTTGATCCCATTCCCCACTCCACCCCCATAAAATGTCTTTGGTATATAACTGTTCATTATTATTTTCTCACCTGGTCCTTTATACTCCTGCTGTGAGTGAAACCATCTGGTATTTTTCCTTTTCTTTCTGACTTATTTCACTAAGCATGATCTTTTCCAGCTCATTCCAGGTTGCTGCAAAAGGCATGAGTTTATTTTTTTAGTTGTTGAGTAAATATTACATCGTGTATATGTAGCCTATCTTTTTAATCCAGTCATCCACTTTTGGGCATTTGGGCTGTTTCCATGTCTTTCCAATTGTAAATAAAGCAGCAATAAACATGGGGGTGCAGGTATCTTTTTGAATCAATGTTTTTGTGTCTTTTGGGTAGATTGCTGGGTCATATGGAAGCTCCATGTTTAGCAGTTTGAGGAATCTCCAGATTCCATAGTGATTAGACTAGTTTGCATTCCCACCAGCAGTGCAGGAGAGTTCCTTTTTTTCCACATTCTCACCAACATTTGTTGTTGCTAGTTGTTTTAAAATGTGCCATTCTCACTGGGGTGAGGTGGTATCTCATTGTGGTTTTAATTTGCGTCTCCCTTATTATAAGTGATGTTGAACATTTTTTCATAGGCTTGTTGGCCATCTGCATTTCCTCTTTGGAGAGGTGTCTTTTTAGCTCTTCTGCCCATTTTTTGATGGGATTGTTTATTTATTTATTTATTTATTTTGAGTTTCATCAGTTCTCCATATATGTTTGTGATCAATCCTTTATTGCTAGTTTTATGTGAGAAAATTTTGTTTTTTGTAATCTCTCTTTTGCTGTACCGAAGCTCTTTAACTTGATATAGTCCCATCTATTTATCCTCGCCTTCACTATTGTTGCATTAGGTTCTGTATCTTCAAAGATGTCACTGAAATGTATGTCATGTAGTGTTTAGCTTATCTTTGCTTCCAGGTATTTTATGGTTTCCGTTCTTATGTCTAGGTCTTTAATTCACTTTGAATTGATTTTTGTGTATGGTGTGAGGTGTGATCTACTTTTCATTTTTTTGCATGTAGCTTTCCAGTTTACCCAGCACCACTTGCTGAACAAAATCTACAGCATTTTACATTCAAAATTTAAGATTAAAAAAATGGCTCAGGTAAATCTGTAACCTAATTAAATACAAAGATAATGCTGTTTTTCCAAAATAATTATTTTTTCCATTTTGCACCTGTTTTTGCAGTCATATATACATAGTCATCTCTTAGTATTTTCACCATATGATTCCATCATGATCTTTTCCATATTGCTACAGTCTCTCTAAAACTCTTGCATAATACCTCATCAAGTTGATGATTAGTCACTTTTTGAACTTTTGAGTTGCTTTCTGTTAGGTTTAATAACTGTGTAATAATACTCTTTTCTCTTTTTAATGATTTCATATATTGATTTTACCTATTTAATATTTTACTGTCTGGAGAGACATTTCTGTTTTAAAATTAGTTCATTTCCTGATAACTATTTTAATACAAATAATATTTGTTATTAATAGACAATGGAAAATATGAGATATTAAAGCAAACTTTATATTTAAAACCTGTCAGTAAGTTTTTTTAAAGATTTATTTATTTATGCTTGCATGCGAAACTGGGATACAGGCCAGAGTGGGGAGCAGAACAGGCAGATCGTCGAAGTACACTGCTAAGGGGAGCCGCAGGCAGGTCAGGAGAGGTCTACTGCGCTATGTGGGTCACCTCCATGGTGGGGATCAAACTCATACTGAAATGGCTTAAGCTTCTTAGTTCTGTGCTTTAACCTGTTGCGCCACCAGGGAGGCCCCCCTGCCAGTAAGTTTTATGATTTCAAGCTTAATATTAAACCAGGTAGGCACCAGGGAAAGCCCTGAATAAAGCAGGCAAGTCAGTCCTGGTTTCTGAGAAAAAGTGACTGATCACTCTTATTAGCTGGGCTTATAAATGCAGTAGCATCTTACTTGTCCTCCATTCTTTGATTCTACCTCATAATACCTGTTTTGGTCTATAATAATTTCCTCTAGTGATTTACAGATGGGAGACTCTCCACTCCATTAAATGGAGTAGAGATTTATTCTTTCCTTTGCATCCCATAGTTATGTTTTTGATATATAAGTTTGCTTGATCCTTAAATAGATATTTTTGTTGGCTGGTTAAGAACCTTTAATTATGGGGATCTACTTTTTCCCTTTGTTTTAAATAAGAATGCATAAATCAGTCTTTGAAACACAATCTGTCTGATTTGTTAAATTTTAGAGTTTAACTTTTGCTACAATTCCAGGTTTTGATATTATAGGTTTTGAAAGGATTTTGATAGCTGTCTCTCATTTTTAAAAAATTATCTGCATCAGAATCGATTCAGTTATTACTGCTTTGGAAAAATTTAATGCAACTATTTGATTTTCTTGTTTCCTAAGGTAAACAGAATTTTCATCCTAAATGTGTAGTAGGTAAAACTTAGAACTTAGTTTTAAAGATCATTTAGAAATTTTTTTATTAATTACTTTTAAAAGATTCGTACTGGTGATTTGCTAAAATATATATTGTTATAATTTGAAAGTTATTTGAAACTTCATTTTCAGGTTATAGAAAGACTTAATCTAAAAATATTCATAGATATTTCTATTGAAAGTATACTGCATATTATGGATTAATATGTAGTTTATCTAACTAGTAATTGCATGAATTTGAATAATTCATTAGCTATGACATTTACACTATTTGAGTATTCTTAAATGGACTACTTGCAATGTTCTTATTGAAAACTCAAAATTAAATGAAGATTTTGTTAATTTTATGAGTTTTTAAAGTTCTTCCTCTTCAATATGTAGAATAATTTTAACTACTGGGACCCCCCCTGGTGGTGCAGGGGTTAAAGTCACAGCACTATCAAGCTATCAACAGTGACTACAGCATGAGTTCAACCCCTAGCCAGGGAGCTGACCCACATGGCACAGCAGATCTCTCCTATCTCACCCACTACTCCCTCCAGCAGTGTATTTCA